GATAGTGGGGGGGGGGGGTTTAAGGCTGAATTCTCATATCCTCTCTTACCTTACTTATCCAAAAAAGTTGTTAGATTTAAAAATCCTGGCTACGCCACTGATAGGTACTATACTACTAATAGGTAATTGTAAAAGGTATATGCTTAAAAATCAATAATTTATAACTTGCTTTTAGGAAATCAAGTCGTCTTAATTTGTTATGTGCTACATTGAATAATTCATATATACTTGATGACATATCCAACTGTATATGTTCTAATTGGTTATAAGACAAATTTATTTCTACCAATGAACATGGTAATGAATAGCTTATATGTTTTATAAAATTGTGAGACAAATTTAGATATGTCAAGTACCTAATAAATATAACTCAAAATCCATAAAAATGAAATATTATTACGGCATTAAAATTGACATAGGTACATTAATTTTATTTTAGGTTAAATAATTTTTAGTGGCCAGGTAAAAAGTTGTTCAATGAAGCAGAGATCGATTTAAATATTTTTTAAACAGATGTATGAGTGAATAGTTAGATTATTTTTGGTCTGTGATTTGTAAGCATTAACTTAGACATTTAAAAATCTTTATCATGAAAAATAAAAATATTTTCAGAAAAACGTAAGATATATAAGTATAATTTGTATAAATTCTATTTACTCATGAATAAATTTAGTTTTGTCATTTGCATTTTGTATGTGAGACGTTTTGTTGAATATAGTAACTTAATAATTTATATCTACTAAGTGAATAAAGTGAGATATTATCCATGTGGATTGCTCTCTTATATTTGTTGGATGGTACTGGTGTTAGAGTAGTGACGTATTTAGAGGGGGCTAGAGGGAGCGATTACTCCGGGCGGCATCAGATTTTTACATAGCCCATTCTATGTTGATGAACAATAATATAAATTGTTTAATTTTTTTTTTTATTTAAGATAATATTCTTAGATTGGAAATATTTATGGGAGGGGGGACAAAAATTGTCGACGAAAAACCTCTCTTTTAAAACATAAATAAGGGGGCGGAAAAACGTTAGCACCCGGACGCCAAATTTTTAAATACGTCTTTGTATTATAGTAGGTATTACAATTCATATTCTGATCTGCTTCATAGACAAAAAAATTACTTAACCAATGAATGTTTCTTACTTTAACTCCTGTAGTCCATTTATATGTTTTATTAAATTGTGCGATAAATCTAAATGTGCTAAAGTCCAATAACTAGTTAAATCATCCATTTTTTCAATATTGTTGTTTGAGTAATCAATATAATACAACATTTTTGGTGGATTGAAATTAAATGTTTGTTTTAAACAATTATGAGATACATCCAAATATTCCAATTCATGAAGAAATGTCAAGACACTTAAATCTTTTATAGAATTATGATGTAGGACCAATTTCTTTAAAGATTTATAATCACCAATAATTTCAATGTTTTCTAAGTTCTGCGAAAAAAAAATATTGAAGTATTTATAAAGCTAAACATCAAATGTTACATTTAAATATATATATATATTAAAATACAAATAAAAATTCATCTTACTAAATTGTTTAATGTTAGTTCAGTAAAACAGAAATAATTTTCAATTTCTTTATGTATTATCATATTAGTTAGTCCTTTGAGCAAAACATCGCGATTCAGCACGCCATCTTGAATAGGCTTTGCAAACATATTAATAATTGGTGACACAAATAAATTATGTAATCTGTCTAAATTAAATTTGTCTAACGAAATATTTTGCAGAGGCATGTTGGAAAAACTAAATATTTTTTTCTCTAAACTATTAGATACATAAACTTTGATAACTAAAAGATATAATAAAAATAAAACAATAAATAGTAGAATATTGCAGCCAGTAATTTATTGATTTAAACTTATGAATATATCTACGATTATACCAAAAACAAATAAAAACAATGAAAAAAGTAATGTCCGTCAAATTGACACCGGTCAAATTATTCAGCTGAATTTGCTAGATTTTGCTAGGGCCCCTACCGTCCAAAGGGAAGGTTCAAATTTAGCATCAGCACCGGCACATTGTCCGATTTCAAAAAAAAAAAATGTCAAATTATTCAGCTGAATTTGCTAGATTTTGCTTGGAGGCTTAAATCGGGGTATATATTTTTAAATATTTATATTTGGCTTGGAGCTTTTAAAAATATCTTTTTGACTGTAGATATTAATTTATCTACTTTTATCAATTTTGATCGTATGGTTTTTGCTATTCCGTACTAAACACGTTAAATGGATCATTTTGGAGAAAAAGCATTTAATTTGTTGAAATATGTAGGAAAAAATGGAATTATTAAGAAATATGTAAAAACATGTGCTTATGGCAAAATATGTAAAATAAAATATAGTTAATTTCAATGGAAAGCCTTTGAAACGAATTCATCATTTATTTAAATTAATTTATCAAATCACAGTAAAAATATGTATTTACATATAAATCCGAGCCCTAGTGATTAACGTATGCAGTTCTTAGGTAGTTTATTGACTACTCATAGTAGTCACATATTAACATTGCATTTGTAACTTCACTCAACCTAGCGTTAATCATCCGTATTCCTCTCTAAGTAGTCATATTATAAGATATTTATAAGATATAAAAGAATTGCAAGTGGCATTATAATTTACATATATTATTTTTATTATGGTAATGTTTTTTACTATATTATTCTATTTTATTTGTATTAAGAAATACAATTCAGTTAAATTTTAAGTATATTTTATTTCATAATATTCAATACATAAGCGTAACAATACAATTTATAAATTTATTATTATTTATCATTCATCAAATAATAAATAATAATGTGTTTAAGCCATAAAAATTACAGTCATACGCTAGTGGCTGACGTCGACACGTAGTCGATCGACGTTGTGCGCGGTCTAGTTTAAGCGCGGCTACACGGACTACGCACGTCGATTACATCGAGGAACTGAACGTGTTAATAATTCATAAATTTCTCATAAACTTTTCCATTAACTATTAACTAAATATTTAAGTTGAATTTAAATAAATTAATAAGTAATAATTTAATTTAACACTAAATTGGTAGGTACAGTAAAAAATATGTGATAAGAATAAAAAAGCGAATGACTGTAGGGTTCCACTTAAATTTTTGGAATACCAAACAAATGTAATTAGAACAATCATATTATTTGACATAACTTTATTGATTCATTTTTTTTTTATGACACTGTTCCTGTAGAAAACGTAAAATATTGGTACATTGGTTTTTGAACGAGCTCTGACCGGCATTATTATTGTATCACAATAATAATTGGACCGAAAATATTTAGCTGTATTAAACGGTTTTTGACTGGCAATAATTTGTCACTCGTAAAAAAACTATAATTATATAAATTTAAATAATATTTTTAAATCAGACAGTGCACCATTGTTGGTATAAAATAATGGAACCTCTCCTTTAGACAATAGGGGAATAAATCCAAAAATGCCCTAACAAAATCTAGCAAATTCAGCTGATTAATTTGACATTTTTTTTTTAAATCGGACAATTTGCTGGTGCTGTTGCCAAATTTGGAACATCCCCCTTGGACGACAGGGCCCCAGCAAAATCCAAAAATGCCCTAACAAAATCTAGCAAATTCCTAGCAAATTTTTGATACCATTTACATAATTCTAGCATAATGTGCCGGTGCCAACTTGACGGATATAAAAAAGTAAAATAATTTTCCGAGTTTAACTAAATAATAATTTTTCAAAATGATACTCACAACTACGTTCCTAACATCTGTTTTTTTTTTTTTTAAAAAAATGTTGAGTATGTGGTTGAAATTAACTTTTTGGTCTTTGCTATATAAATAATAAGAAAATATATTAATTTTATTTATATCACTAGGAGAAATGTATCAGTCCAATTTGTTGTATACTAGATTTTGATAAAAGGATAAATCATAATGTATTGATACACAACTATAATTCAAGATCACTGTATTATAGATAAATAATTTTTTTTTTTCTTTTATTACTTTGGTACGTACTACGGTATTTTTTATGATATAATTCAAAACCATATTTGAATCAAAAACAAACTAAGAAAAAAAATAATACAATGATATAGTAGAATATATTTAATAAAATATTTTTAGCATACAATAAATATACAATAAATACATTAAATATTTCTTAATCTCAAAAATATGCTTATGGTAGAAAATACATTTTTTATGTTCTATATTGATACTGAATACATATTTCATGGTCTATATTTTTATAACTTATAAATTGTATCACTTAAAAAATTATATTGAAATACAATAAACTGGATTCATCTTATTATAACGTACAAAAATAAGAAAAATAAATTATTAAACAATTAAATTAGACATGTACAAATTAAAGTTTAAATTAAATAAAAAAAAATAGCTTTATTATTATTTAATACATTAATAAAATTACGATAAAAATAAATTTTAAATGTTAAATTATCAGACATTTTTTTTTTTTATTCATTGTGATGAATGTCTGGGACGAGGAACAAATCCTATTCTTTCTTGTACTGCTTCTTGTTTTGTTTTTGAGTTGGTGGGTACATTGGTACCTAATAAATTTCTTTGTTTTTCATCTTTAGCTTTTTTAAAAGCTTCAAATTCATTTTTAATTTCAGAGAATTCATTTAGGTCTTCTATTCTAAGCTCCAATCTTGTAGGGTTTAATCTTATCATTTTCACCTAAGTTTAAAATATTTTTAGTGTTTAGTTTGAATGGTTCAATAGTTAAACACTGATTAAATTAATTTATTGGAACTAAAGTTATGTTAATACATTTGTCAGTATAAAATTGTATAAAATAAAATAAAAAACATTTAGTTAATCAAATATTGCTTATTGTTATTGCATGATAAATTCCTAAAAAAATTAATGCCATTTGATTTAAAAAAAAATATAAGTACATTAAAATGTTTAAATAAAAATATAGGGGGAGTATAAAAAGATGTAATATTTATTAATTGAGATGTCTATCAGATTACTTTATTTTCCGCTAACATTGAATAATGTAAAATTACACCAATAACATTTATTATATTTATTGATAACAGAAATTTGTTGGGTGCAAGTAAAAAGTAGATAAATAATACACTTTTTTGACTCACTTACCAAGTGAAATATTCGTTAAGAATCGACTGATTACAATATTGTTTAAACTGTAAATTGGTCGCGAAAAAGAGCACTAAACGAACAGACTAAAGATCAACGGAGTGATACAGTACGAATAATTTTTATCAAAGAAAGTCGTGTGATAACACTGAGTTAAAAATATATCAGTGGTTGATAACAAGATATCAGATAACCGGTCAGCACGTAAGGTAAATACGAGATGGCGGCGTCTTCGTTTTTTTTTTTTTCTTTTGGGTTGGCTATTGCATTTATCGCATTTTGTTCGCGCATGGTTAGTTTAATCAATCAGTAGCAGAGTACTCGTTAGTATTTTACTGCTCACAATTATTACAGTTTTCTGAGAAAGAATTTTTTATTTATTTTTTCCTTTTTGGCCAGCCCATTGCATCTCTTCTTTACCTCGTTCGCGCGTGCGGTGAACAGCGGGAAAATAATAACCACTTATCTGTCTTAAATCTTTTGACCGTGATCTGGTGACCTTTAGAGGTCGTTCTGTAGCTTCAAACGGTTTTAAAATAGAGTGCAATAGGACGCGGTCGGTTGCTCAATTGACAGCTTACGAATAACAAATACTTGATTGTTAACTGACTGTAGTATTTGTCATCAATTATCGAAGCCCTATTAGACATGATCAATTAGAATATAAATTACTCGTCCACAGCCTTTGACGCGAGTTCGTTCAAACTCAAGTTCTATTTGTGTTTTATTTAGTTCATAGGTGAGGAGTATTACGTTTTGTGGAATTATTTTTGACACTTATTTTTTTCTAGTATTAAACAATGGAGGAAGATCAGAAAAGATTCATTGAAAGAGGTTCTCATAAGGGAAAAGGCCTTGCTGTATTCACTAGTGGCGGAGATTCTCAAGGTAATAATTGATTTCAATTATTTGAATTTCCATATGGACAGAAACCTGTTACATTTTTAAATTATGAAAAATTATTCATGATCTTTGATGTAGAAAAAGTCTCTAACATATTTATTAACCTTGATCGTACCTTGACAACATTTTTAAAATTTTTTAGATTTTTATTGTAACTAAACATATCTTAATATGTACATATATTTGTAATATGAATTCATATTGCTGTAAGAACTAATTATTTAATTGATTTTTAAAATTTTTAATTTAATTTTACTATATTCTTTCTTTAAAAAAAAAATATTTTTTCCTAATAACATTTTGAAATTTGTATTTACTAATATAATATAAGCATTAAAGACATTTTTATTTCTCAATATGTTATTTTTATTAAATTTACTTCGTTTTATGTCATTATTTGGTATTACTGTATTATAAATATTTTTAAAGTTTATATTTTTTATTTTTTACTTACTGGATGATACATAATTTATTCTTCAAAAAAAAAAATAATTTTCATTAGATATGAGTGAATATTTCATGTATATATGAAAGATATATACACAGAATACATTTAATATAATTTATAAATTGTGATACATATATGAGTAAGAAACTTAATAGTACATAATAGTTATATAATGATTAGTAGTAGTAAACACACACATACATACACACAAGATACTGCAATAATTTTAATTAATGATTAGATGTTTGATTGGTCAGTAAGTGATGTTAAAAAAAATTTTGTTCAGATAAAAATGAAATAAATATCTGCACAAGATAAAAAAATAAACGTGTCTGACAATCTCTTGTTACACATGCTACATTCTAGAATCTTACTGACTGTCAAACTTTTTTCCTTATACTTTAATTAATATTACTGTATATTTTATTACAAGCATGAAATTATCAAAATTCATTTTTGCATACAATTTATTAGTCTAGATTTACAATAATACTGATAACAACTTAAGTCTTATGTTTCACATTAATATTTAGTGTACAATTAGAATATGTCACATTAAACATATTGTATGGATCATTTATTTGTCATTTACCAACCAATTACTTATATAGCCAATTACTTATATACTTATATATACTATTTTAATAAGTATTAATTAATTTTTTAACTATTATTAAATGAACTATAACATTTTTTGTTTACTAGTTTTTATTTTAATTTATAAATTTTGTGTTATTTTCATTAGTAGATAGAAAAATAATTTTGTATACATATATTTATCATGGATCTATTTATATCCATGATTTATATAAATTATATAAAAATATATTTTCAGCTTTCAGAGGTTAAAGATTTTTACTAGGCTAAAAAATATTTTTGAGATACTTTGTTTATTATAATATTAATTGTATATTTTTCATAGTTCACCAAGCATAACTTGGTTACATAAAAGTTCTATTCAGGTCTAGTTATTCCAAATTTATTATTTTATTTAAATGAAATATTAATTATGTTTAACAGGTATGAATGCTGCTGTCCGTGCTGTTGTTCGTATGGCTATTTACCTTGGATGCAAGGTATTTTTCATTAAAGAGGGTTATCAAGGTATGGTAGATGGTGGGGATAACATTGAAGAAGCTAATTGGTCTTCTGTATCTTCTATAATACATAAGGTGTGTACAAATTTAAGTATTTTCTATAAATATATATTTATATTATTTTTAGGAGATATGCTTGTACTAGTGATACATAGAATGCCTATAATTTATTCTCATAAATATGTATTATTGTTGATCCGTGCTATGTATTTTTAATGAACTACTTGCTTTGAATTTATATGAGACATTTAATAGTATTTTTTCTTAAAAGTTTTCTAAAAATATATAATTTTGTAGTTTTATAAAAATAATAGTTATTAATAATAATTTTGCTTTAGTGCATTAAAATAAGTTAAGGATTTCTGTTTAGTATAATATATATATATATATATATATATATATATATTAGAAATTAAGCTATTACAACATTATTACTTAAATTATAACGTTAACCAAAATAATTAATATGAAAATATATACTCTACTTTAATAAAATTGAAAGTATTGTAAACCCATCAGTCTTTGACAAAAATAATTCATAAACTGTACTAATTATTTAATTCTAATTGTTTAGTTAAATGAAAAGTACTACCTGAATTACATTTTAACACCAATATGATAAAATACATTTCTGTCTGTAATATTTTATCAAGTATACTGGTTTTATTTAGTATAATATTTTTAATGGTTCTTCTGTTCTACTATTTATAATATTTTTCTGAAATTGTTGGTTTAATTGAAAAGTAGGTTTTTAATTTTATTGTTGATTATAATATTTTATATTTAGGGTGGTACTGTGATTGGTTCTGCACGGTGTATGGATTTCAAAGAGCGTACTGGTCGGTTAAGTGCAGCTTGCAATCTTGTAAAACGTGGTATTACAAATTTGGTAGTAATTGGTGGTGATGGCTCTCTTACTGGAGCTAACCTATTTCGACAAGAATGGTCTAGTCTTCTAGACGAACTATTGACAACATCAAGAATTAATAAAACAGAAAGGGAAAAATATGCACATTTAAATATTGTTGGAATGGTTGGTTCCATTGATAATGACTTTTGTGGCACTGACATGACAATTGGTACTGATTCTGCTTTACATCGCATCATGGATGCTATCGATGCTATTGTATCAACAGCCTATTCACATCAAAGAACATTTATTATGGAAGTAATGGGACGTCATTGCGGGTATGTTTGTTAATTTTAATTACCATCAAGATTTAAAAAATCTATACATAAAAATAAAATTGAATACCTCCTAAGAAGTCAGGTGATTCTATGACCTTAAAAGTAATATTAAAGACGTTTTAAGAAATTTAAATTTATATTGTTTTTTTTAGATAAAAATTTGTACTCTTGGAGTTTCTTGTTTGAGCTTAACTTTTTTAACTGCTTATTTAAATTTATAAGTATATCTTGTATTTAAAAAATTAGATTCTTGTTCAGAATTTTGTATGATATACTATTTTTATCTTTATACAAATATTTAATTTAAAAAAGACATTTATTGAAGAAAATCATTATTTATAAAAACCTATTAGATTCTTATATTATTTTTGTGATGTGCAACAAGATTAAGTAAATGGTTTCAGTCATGATTTTTATTTATTATGAATTTATGATTATTCATAAAGATTTGCACATAAAATGTTCAGGATGTCATTCATAGAAAATGATTTGCAAATAATACACTTGAGATAGATTATTGTATTGTTGAAAATTGCTAAATTTATTTTTGAGTTCTTGAAATGGTTTTATTTCATACAAAAATTGAGAATCATGAGATATTAATTTTTAATTAGAGAATTGTTCAGGTTGTTCATTAATTTGTTATTGTAAAAAGCTTAACTGATTTACTAAGAAAAAGATCCATTTCCTATTTAAATGCAAGTATATTCAATAAATTCATTTATAAACTTTATTTGTTTTTAATAAGATTTTTTCTATTCTGATAAAATCACTGAAAGTAGTTAAATTCATGAGTGTTTTAAAAAACCCAATAATTGTAATATATAAAATGTAATTATTTTTTAGTGATGTTATTATTTATAGGAATTTAAATTGAACTTGGTAATATCTGGCAGATTGATATATTTGTTCAGGCTATTATAACTAGCTATTATAACATATTTTAGTTTTAACTACCTTTAGTTATTCTAGTTGCTGGTTGATTATGTTTTAAATGCTTTTTAAAAATAATAAAATTCATTTTTGTAAATTCTTTATCTATTAATTTATAAGTTGGACTGTAGAAAAATACAAAGATTTAATTTTAATATGTATTATATTTTTCAATATTTTATGTATTTTTGATTTTTATGTAGCAAATATCTATATTTTAATATTTATTTAAGAATATACTTTTCATATTTTAATAAAACATTGAAATTCATTTTAGGAATAACTGTAGCTTATTATGAGGTTACTAAATCATTTTTAAAAATTACATAATTTTTTTAAATTCATCTAAATCTTTGAATAAATAAAATCAATAACATGTATAGTTTTCTTTGCCTTTTAAAATTCAACAGTTGATTTTATTTCAATAAAAGAGATGATAAATTAATGTATATTTGATAAAAAAAAAAATTAAATGTTAATGTATACATGCTTGGGGTTTAGACTTGATTAAAATGTTTAAACCTTTTAAAAGTTAATTTTTTTTTTTTTTTGATTTTCTGTTTTTGTGAAGGCTATTTAAAAGTATTCTATCCCTAGAAAATATTTAAATTTTAAATAACAGTGAACATTTTTATATTAATTTTACTTTTATAGATTTATAATTTATTAAGATTTATTCAGTTTTAATTTCATACTGTGTAATATGCTTAATGATTATAATTAAAACTTAAACAATAGTCATAGAATCATCTAAAATGGATTTATTCTATTTTTAAATTTATTTAAATAATCAGTCAAGTAGAGAAACAAATTATAGCTAAGTCAATTATTATTTATTATTATGATTTTAAATATATTTTACTATAATGAATTAAAAAACATCTATAATTTTAATGTATTAGAAGTTTATATTTAATTTTTTATAATTTATAAAATAATACAAACTTTATACTTATTTACTTAATATTAAAATTAATAAAAAACATAAATTACTTCTTTAATTTATAATTATTTAATTTTAATGAGTAATTTTATGTTTATAATTATCTATGAACATTATTAATAAAATGTATTGTATGCATTTAGTAAATTACTCACAAAATATATATATATATATATATATATATATATATATATATATATATTACATACAATTCCACAAATCGTAATGTAGCCCAGTACCGTGCTTAGTATAATTAGCGCCTGGTACCAAAAATCATTTTTAGCGCTCTCATCCCTCTACATAATATTTTTGAACCTAAAATTATAGCTAAGCGTAAACTATAAGGGGACTACTTAAGAATATGGGGTTTTACTTAACTTCTTATTTTGTATTTATTAAATTAATAAAAGAAATAATCAACGACTAAAGAACAATATAAGTGATATAGCTCAAACTAATTCTTTGACACCATGTTTTCTTACTCTGGTCTACTTACTTGAACAAGTTACCCTCGAATTTCACCTCTAAATTTAAATCTATAGTTCCTGTTATACCAGACAAATATGGTTCAACGATCTCACTCTTTCCAGATCCCTCGTAATCAAATTTAACCGATTATGCACTGACCATCATCTCTTACCATATTGCTAGTAAATTAAATCTTAACGATTCCTTTCCAGTGGTGCAATTATCGGGAGTATTGGGTGTACAATTTATAGAGACCCCCAATTTTGGGGAGCTTCGAAATCTCTTCTGATATTACCTTTGCTCCTTACAATATTTTTACTATAATCTGTAATATACACATATTATGTTGTCTGTTTTAATATAATAAAAATAAATAATAATATAAGTCTAGACATTTTCACATGGGCCCCTTATCGTCAAATTGCGCCACTGCTCCCTTCTTTGCACACTCCATTTAGAAGAAAAAAAATGTATACTCTATCTTATATTCTCTTTGACTTTTTTTACTTACCAAACCCAATATCCTAATTAGTCTCTCAATAACTCATTCAATACTTTCAGCATTCTAAATTTCAAAATCTGCTCTCATTCTAATTATTTCCTTCATCCACTAAGCTGATTTCTGTATACAATCTTTTATTATTTTAATAATTTTATAAATGGTATATTATTGTTAATTTGTTATCTCGTCAATTTTGGGGCAAAAATAAATACCAATACTAAAAATAAATTAGCAACACCACCGATCAAGACAATGTTATTGATGACGACTATGCGCAAGACCATGGCGTTAAACATATTTAATATTTTGAATTAAATAATATGGTTAAATTTCAGTAATTTTACTTAGATTATGAAAAAGCTTTTGGCCCCCCCCAGTGTTAATAGCGCCCGGTGCACATGCACCTCTCGCATCCCCTAGGCACGGCCTTGATGTAGCCTAATAACAGTTAATAACACAGTGGGTAATCACTTGATATAAATATTTATTTAAAATATTAGTATACAATGTAATTGACTTAGCTTTTGTTTTAAATTGTTTTATTTAGTCTTGAAAAGCTATGTAACTTCAAAATGCTTTTTAACTTCTATATATTAAAATTTGGTATTTTTCTTCTTTATATAACAAAATAAAAGTGATTGAAGTGTTCTTGTTTCAAGTTTAATAACGCTGCTGTTGCATATAAAGGTACCTTGCACTTGTCACAGCCCTCACTAGTGAAGCTGACTACGTGTTTATACCAGAGATGCCTCCACCAAATGATTGGCCGACCAAACTTTGCACCAAATTAGAGCAGGCAAGGACTATTTTATAGAAAAAAAAAAATGATTACATTGTTATCCAAGCCCTAACTTCTTCCAAAATATGTCTTTACCAATACACTTAAATATATTAACAAATGCTCGCACTTTTCTATACTAAAGCATGATTGATTCCGTTTTCTTATTTTGTTTTCTTTAACTCTAGCGCTTGATTATTAATTATTTAAACTTTGTTCTCGCCTCATTTGTAGATAAGGTCATAGGATATTCACCAAGTGAATTCATTATACTAGGAAATACGGGTCAGAAATATTGGTGGCTGTTTTAGGGTACAGTGCATAGAAGTGGCAATACTATAAAACATAATTTAATTTTTTTTGTATTTAATTATTGTATAATTATATACATATACATTAATTTAAAATACAAATAAAATTTGTATACAAAAATGTGTGTATATATATATATATATATATATTTATATATACATATATTGTATGTCTGTATATAATTTAGTTTTAGTTATTACTATTTATTATTAAATTAGTGGTTGTTTAAAAATGTATGGTGGTAGTATGCTATATTAAATGTGCAGGTATTTAGCTTTGGTTACGGCATTGGCATCAGAAGCCGATTTTGTGTTCATTCCAGAATGGCCACCACAACAAGACTGGGCGACGAAAATGTGTAAAAAATTGCTACAGGCAAGGCTGACATAAATATTATGCATGTGTATTAGTCCATCAGTGTGTCATTCAGGTACCATGTGTTCACTGATTTAGGAATCACTAAATTTTTCTTTGGAATTCTTTGAATCTAGATTTATTTTTTATACATATATTGATCCCTAAGGTATTTATGATACCAAATTACGGTAGATATTTTTAGTCATTTTAGTTTATCAGCTATAATTCTAAACATAAAGTTAGTGACATATTTGGGAGTGGGATAGGGGCTGGAAGGAGTGATTGTTCTGGACAATATTATATTACAAGGCCAATCTTATATTGGTGAGTTATTAGATTTTTTTTTCATTAATAGAAATATTTTAAGACCGAGGCATCTAGTACTGTTGTACTATACAAAGAAGTGTGCTTAGCAGGAAAATGAATCAGAAATTAGTTTTATTCTTTGTACTATGACTGTTATGTGTATAATGCTATGTCGTTTGATAGTAAACCTGTAAACATTTAAAATAAACACATTATCTAGTGTAACTTACATTTTTATGTTGGCGAGAAGGTAGAGGAATTTCTGAATGTAACTTTACTTAAAATTAACTGAATAATGAGAAGATCACCTTACTTTTTTTTTCTCAGTATTATTTTTGTATATAGTTATAATTAATATGATAATATTCATAGTTTATTTACTATTAAAACTTGGTATTAGCTTCAATAAAAAATGGTCACAATTCCAATAATTTACCAAGGGTACAGCAATGTAAAAATGTTAAGGAGTTTTGGATGTATTACAATTTTTAAAATCTATTTTACAGTTTTATTTTATAAATAATTACATATTTCCAGGGGCGTATTTAGGGGGGGGGGTGATATGGGTGTAGGAACACCCCACATCGACCGTATTTCATAGTATTTCACCAAATTGCAAACTTAATTACAGTATAATTTAACTAAACGTAGGTATATGTAAATATAATTATTTTTATTAATATAATAATTTATATAAATACATGGTATTTATAAATGTAAGTAGTAGGGGGGGCAGAATCACCACTTACTATAAGTCTATTCAATTTTAAAACACCCCCGTTAAATGAATCCTGGCTACGCCACTGCATATTTTATAAAAATCATAGTATAAACTTATATCATTGGATTTATACTTTTTAAGATAATATCATGTATAAATAATATTGAAAAATTGAGATGCTTTTTTTTTTTTTTTGATAATTATTTATTGAAAACAATTGTTTATAAATTAAAATGGCTTTAAAAATATACATCTACCTAAATATGTTGTCAAAAACAGGTATTACTAATAATATACTAGCTGTACTGCAGGTAGTGTGAAGCAAGATTAAACATTTTAAATGTTTATATTATGTTTTTAAATAATACTCTATTGTAAGAATGTGCTGCTTCAATTCAAAGTAATTTGACTAAGAAATTTAATTTTCCCTAAGTTAATGAACATATAGTATTTTGCATAAATTATACTATTACACTGCTGATATAATTTTCTTTCAAATTAATTGTTCAAGTTTGTGTTACAAAACGATCCTAGTAAATACTTTTTAAAAATAAATTCATTGAAACATAACCATGATACCATATATTTTTAAAACTTAAAAACTACAAGATTTTTATAGTTTTTTAGTTAATATATTTTACAACACAAAATAACTGTAGTTAATTAAATGAATAAATAAATAAATTCTTAGCCTGGAGTATTAATATTTATTTATTTCTATGTGTAACCATATAAACTATTTATTTATATATATTAATTTACAAGTATTAACCATTTACTATTTTTTATTTTATTTCTATTATTTTAGTAGTTAAGTTATTTATTAGATTAAATATAGAAGAAAACCTAAACACAAAACTTTTTTTTTTTGTTTCATCTTGTATTTTTGAAATTTCAAATAAACTAATTATGGTATTTAATAATAATTTTGACCAAGTATTATAAACATGAAGATACACTGTATGGATATTAACACAAGTTATATATTTTTTATAAGTATCTGACTGGGATTGATTGTAGCACATTTGATAATAGTGAGTGACTTAAGATTACAGATTAAGAAATATGTATCAAGAGTGATATTATTTTTCATGCATGAATTAATTTGAAGTAATTATGGCAAATATTTTAATAACTTGAATATTCAAGTATTTTTATATTAAATAAATGTCTAACTTACTTATATAATTACCATGTAACAATATAACATTAATATAAATATATAATTAATATTTAACTAATATTTATAATTTCTATCTAACAATGTAATTCTTAATGATATTGACTATTTTTATTATTAAATACTATATCAGATTTGCCATCACTGGTTTAGAATAAATACATTTATGTTTTGCTTTAATAATTTTATACAATAGTACTTATTCTAAAATATTAACTTAGTTATTACTATTAGGGTAATTTGTAGTATATAAATAAATCAAGACGTTTTAATATTATAAATGCTTATAGTATCCCTAGTTTTTTTTACTATTACTCATTGTATTTGTTATCAATTAAATTTATATGTATTATCTTCGTTTTTTTTTTAGTGCTAATCATTTATATATTTATTTAAAATAAATTTATAATTTATTTATAAAAAGCATATCTTAAAATTGTACTAAATATAATAAATGTCATAAATACTTATCAATATGAATAATAATTAATTTTTAATTTATTATAATAAACTTCAAATGTATTGATAAATACATAATAGGTTAATAATTTTTTAAAGTAAAGTAGTTACTAATAATATCCATTTGTAAAATTTCTATCAAGTAAATGTAAATCTAATTGTTACTAGATGATTGTATTATATTACAATTAAATTATAACCATTTTTTTTATTAGTTATAATAGTCCAAAAAGTGTTAAATTACTTTGCTAGTTTTCTATCATCAACATTATATTCATTTTAATATATATAATTTCTTTTGAGCTTTGTATTTACTTTGGCACTTTTAATCATTAGTTATTGGAAATTACATTGTTAAATATTATATTTTATTAAATTAACTTAATTGGTGTAAAATTTTAATAATTAAGGAACTTGGTGGATGAGCTTTTGGAGTATGCTAACTTTGATTATTTATTAAATTTCTTTATATTTATTTTTCGATTTTTAGGAAAGAACTGCTGGCCAGCGATTGAACATTATAATTGTATCTGAAGGTGCTATTGACCGAAATGGCCAGCCTATTACGGCCGAGATGGTAAAACAAGTGGTAGTTGACAATTTAAAACAAGATACTCGGATCACAGTTTTGGGTCATGTCCAGAGGGGAGGTGCTCCATCAGCTTTTGATAGAGTTCTGGTACATAATTGAATTCTATATGTTGCTTAAAAATTTGCTTACTTTACCAAATGTTGTGAAGTCTGTATGTTTAATCTACAACTACCACTACTATAGTATGTTTATACATTTTCAGGGGTGCAGAATGGGTGCTGAAGCTGTAATGGCTTTAATGGAAGCCACTCCAGAAACAGAAGCTTGCGTTGTTTCTTTGGATGGTAATCAAGCTGTCCGTTTGCCATTGATGGAATGTGTTGAAAAAACCAAAGCCGTAGCCAAAGCAATGGCTGATAAACAGTGGGAATTAGCTGTACAACTTAGAGGAAGGTATAAAAAACTCAATTATTTTATCTTATTTTTTCTTTTTAAACTTCTATTTTTCAATAAATGCTCTAAACATTGCATTTATAAATTTGAGTATTCACAAGAAATCTTATTTTAGAAAATTAATTAACTGAAGACTATGAAAATTTAAATAATAATATGATTTCAAAGATATTTAAATTTCCAGATAATTATTAATTATTAATGATAGACAATCAAAATCCAAATAATATAAAGAAATTATAGATTAAAATATATGTGCCTTTGTCTCTCTAGTTAGACCATTTTATTAAATACTCAAGTTAATCGCTAATCATTATATTGAATTTCATTCAAAACTAGCACTAACTTTTAACATAAGGACTTTTCTTAAATTAATTTTCTATTGTCAACGTTTTATTGTTATTTACAGGAGTTTTGCAAGAAATTTGGAGACATATAAAATGTTGACTCGTTTGAAGCCTCCCCGTTCAGCATTTGATGAAATGGGCCGTGGATTGGTAAGTTGATTTTTTCTATATAATTATTTGTTTAAATTTAATTTCCTTAGAACTTGTTATTAATTTACAAAATATTTGTCATTTTTCTATGAATTCTTACCCTTAGAGTCTAAATCGAGTAAGTAAATTTAAATACTAGTTTGTTTGGAAATTATACACATGTAAAAAAAAAAAAAAATAAACACTATAATTATTATTTTTATAATAGCAAGACACATTGTGGGGTCAGGTAAGACAATAAGTGGTTGAATAATGATGTTTTGATATTAAAGCTTCATAATATATACACATAATGCTTATAATGTGTGATATGAAAAAAATTATAATATAAGCAATGTTAGTCTAAACAATATTATGCAATAAATATTTTAAATATATTTACTAGATATATTTGTATTGTCTATTTTATTTTGTGGATTTTTGATTGGGCTTAAGTTTGTAATGCAAGTTTTCTCACAGAGAATTGTGATTGTAGATTTTATTGTGTATATGCTATTTAATAATTACTTGTTATATTACATAATTTTAAGTTAAAAATGTATTGTAGGAAGGTTACACTCTTGCAGTTATGCATATCGGAGCTCCAGCATGTGGTATGAATTCTGCTGTACGTTCATTTGTAAGAAATTGTATTTATAGAGGTGATACAGTTTACGGCATTCATGATGGAGTAGAAGGTTTAGTTGCTGGAAACGTTAGTATTTTTTTAATTTTTATTATTATTTTAATTATTTTTGACTAAGAAATCTATAATATGAAAATGTATTGATTATTTTGTTTAGATTCAAGTAATGCAATGGTCTGATGTTACTGGTTGGGTTGGCCAAGGTGGTGCTATGTTGGGTACTAAGCGTACTCTTCCCGAAAAACGAATGCCTGAAATTGCTGCTAGACTTAAAGAGTTCAATATACAAGCACTTTTGATTATTGGAGGCTTTGAGGTTAGTGATTTTCTGGAATAAATAAATGTATGAATAATAACTGAATTGAACTTACTATTTTAGGCTTATCAAGCTGGAGTCCAGTTAGTTCAGAACCGTAAACAGTTCCCGGAATTTTGTATACCAATGGTTATAATCCCATCAACAATTAGTAATAACGTTCCTGGTACGGAATTTTCATTAGGTTGTGATACTGCTCTTAATGAAATCACTGAGGTTTTTAATTTAATTAATTTTTAAAAATCAAATAATTTTACTGATAGACCATTTTATGTCATTACATTTTATTTCAGATTTGTGATAGAATTCGACAATCTGCTCAAGGTACTAAACGACGTGTATTTGTTATTGAAACTATGGGTGGATATTGTGGATATTTGGCTACTGTTGCTGGTTTGGCTGGTGGTGCTGATGCAGCGTATATTTATGAAGAAAAATTTACCATTAAAGATTTGCAAAATGATGTGTATCATATGGCTTCAAAGATGGCAGAAGGTGTTCAACGTGGATTGATATTAAGGTTAATTGAATAATACAACTTTAATATTGCATTCAGTTTTAATAACATTTAAATTTATATTTCAAAATTTAGGAATGAAAAATGTAGTGAGAACTATAACACAGACTTTATATTTAGACTTTACACAGAAGAAGGAAAAGGACTGTTCAGTACTCGTATGAATGTTTTAGGTAAAAAATAATTATATATTTATAATGAAAAATGAAATTAAAACGGGAGATAAATTTATATTAAATATTACTATCAAACAATGAATATAGTAAAAAAAAAAAAATAGAAACTACAGGTAAATTAACAGGGAATTAGTCCGTTATAGTGATGTGTCCACAGAGATATTTGACTGTATATCCAACTACAAAATTATTTATAATTAATTAAATAATACATTTTTATATAATTTATAAAATACATATGTATTAATCAAGACTCAGACTCAGTTAATTAAGTATAAAAAGTATAAAAATTCCTTTTACTATTTTCTACTAAAAATCATAAAATAAATGCTTGAAAACAGAAAAAAGTTCAAAATAAAGTGTTGATATTTGAATATAGATTTTATGAAACAAATTTCAATCTAGAGGCAACCCAAAATATCATGTAAAATCATGAACATCTTAATTCCAGTAATAATAATATATTAATTGTAACAAATGAAAGACTTATTGATTTAATTTAAAATTATTTTTATTTAGTAAAGTTTCTATAGTTTATAGTATACTCATTAAATTGTGTATTGTTATTAATTATAACATTTATTTTTAGGTCATATGCAACAAGGTGGCTCACCTACACCATTTGATCGTAATATGGGTACCAAACAAGCAGCAAAATGTGTTGAATGGTTAGTAGAAAAATTGAGAGAATCTACAAGACCAGATGGAACAATTTATACAGATAATCCAGATACAGCTGCAATGATGGGTGTAATAAGAAGGCAGTATCGTTTTACACCCCTAACTGATTTGGTGCCAATTACTAATTTTGAGTGAGTGAATTTATATGGTCATTATAAATTATAAATGTTTTTTATGAGACATTTATAAATATTTTACTTTAAAAATTTACCAAAGAGCCTTGTTGATGTTGTCTACTGTAAACAGTAGATTATATTATTGGTGGAAAGTTTTTTTTAAGCTATTTCTACAAAATATCGATAAGAAATTATGTAGTTTTACTATTCTTTTATTAATTCTTTTATATATTTTATTTTTTTAATTTACAGGCAACGTATTGCTAAGACTCAGTGGTGGTTGAAATTAAGGCCACTTTTACGTATACTCGCTAAACATGATAGTGCTTATGAAGAGGAAGGCATGTACATAACTGTTGAAGAAGGACTTGAGGCGGACACACTGTTAGTTTAAACAAACACTGTATTGATTATATTTTTACTACTACTCTATTATTATTATCCATAGAGTGCAAATATAACATTAATGAATAAAAACAACTAATATAATAAAATTAAATAAAAAAAAAAATTCACCTATTATTTATACATTAGTTAACACTCTAGTCATCAAGTGTAAAGTAGATAATACTATTGAAACTATTATAATAAAGTTTGTTAACTATGTTTAGTTTGTTTTTTAGATGAATATTTGTGTTTATCAGTACAATGCTATTTATTTCAATATTTGTATGCAATTATTAATGTAAAAAAAATTTCAATTTAACTTATTAATATATTGTTGTTAAAGTAAATTGTTTTTAAAAATTTCTTATTATATAATAAGTAAATATCTAACAATTATTAGTAAAAGAACTATAATTTAGATTTTAATATTTTTTTTCTTTTTTAGTGAAAGTAAAATCATATCAATTTGATAATTTACATGTTAAACAATATTTTTCATCAAATACATTTTAAATTCAAGTGAAAAATTAATCAATATATAAAATCATACTATGCATTAAATAAATTTAAATTAAATTTATTGTTATCCCAACATCCTTTCATGAAAAATGTATAATAATGTACTGTCATCAATCTCTGTAAATCATATAATTCACTAAAAATTATTATGATCGTATAATTATTAAACATAGTAAAAAATAAAAACTCGTACAGAACATGCATTTTTTATAAATACTAAGTATAAAGTAGATAAGTCTGGCACAAGTTTCAATGGCATTAGATTAGTTTGCGTAAAATTTCTCACACTACCCAAAATAAACTCTTGCGTGATTATAGCTAAGTATGTACTAGATCCTAACCGACTGGATTAAAAGAACCGAAAAATGTTTGGTCCGAATTTTCATTCCGAACTAAAATCGTGAAAATATAATAATATTGTGTCATGTTACAAACATACATAGATGTAGGCAGTGCTCGAATTGGAGGGGGTGCGCAGGGGTATGGAGCTCTTCTACTTTTTTTTTTTTGCGTAACCCAACCATATTTTTTCATCGGAACGGGGGGACCCCACGTTCATCCTAATTGATGTCTAAAATAATTTTTATATGAATTTCAATTTACGTCAATTGGAAAATGAATTTTACGATTTATAATATCAAAACTATTTTTATAATTAAAATTTATATGGTGGTTATGAAAAGGGAGAACGTCGTCATTTCTGGAAAAACATAAATAGTAATGTCTGTGAATTTGGTGTATTATATTTTATACATTGTACGGTTTGTTATTAATAGTGGCGATCGACGATATGGTCATTTCGGAAAAAAAATAAATGCCCTCACAACGACTTTGGACTAATCTTCTAAGGCCGTGGCCCGCACTGAAGAGGAAAAATAGATAAAAACAAAAACTAAATATATGATTATACCATTCGATTCACGAGACTGCCTGATCGCCTACAATTACCTATGTTAATTATTATTTTATTTTTATTTTCTATTGTAACATATAGGATGGATGTTGGTATTGGTATCAAAATATATTATATTTGGAATTTAAATATTTGTTTAGTTGAAAAGTGGTATTCAAAATATATTTAAGGTTGGTGGAGGGGGGAAGAGGGACGAAGCCCTCCACGGATCTGTGTCAAATAATTGTGCACGTGGAACGCAGTTTTCAAATCGTTGGACAGAGCTCCTCTACATAATTTTTCCCAATTCGAGCACTGGATGTAGGTCCTTACAAGTATCATTGTATGGGGGACCACATATCACATGATTAATATTAGAATAACTTATAATAAGCACCAGTAGTACGATTGCAATAGTTAAAGGATTATGGGCGTTTTCAAAATAACAATGCGTAAATATAAAGCATATGATGGAACATAACATAGGTACGTGAAAAGTGGTTCTGCGAATTGCAGAGTTCAAAAGGTTAATCAAACGTAATAACCAGAATTGGGAGTTAAAGCATTTGCTTATTTTTATGGATTGATTTAAAATATAGCAGAGTGCTATAAAAGTGTATGGCAAGTTATAACACGTACAATTATGAAATTTGAAAGTGTCTTTTTTTTGTTTTTTAAAAAAAATGCTTATTTCCAGTTTTTTTGATTA